GCATCTTCCCATGTCGCTGGTGCCATAGCATTAATCATTAGTGAAAAAGGTAATATGTCACCAAAAAAAATGAAATCAATGATAATAAAATTGGCTACTCGTGGTGTATTGAAAAATACAGAGTCAACCAATCCACCTTACCATAATAAGATGTTATATGTGAATATTTGATTAATTAGTTGTACTGATTATGGAATTTTTTGTTGAAATTTTTCTTAATAAAAACAATTTTATATTTTTATAAAATGCATTTTAAATTGAATGATTAAATTACTAAATTATTAAAAATTATTGATATTGTCTAGATATAGATACAAGTATAGAATTCTTATTTGAATTGCAATATTAATTATTTAATATTTCAATTATATTGTTTCAAAAATATATTAGCATTAAATTATTCAATTAATAAATGATTAATAAAAATTACTTTTCTCCTACTTTCTCTCAAATTAACATAACCTTCCCTCTTCATCCTCTCACTTTCCTTCCTTCTTCCTATCAAGGAATTGATGTATACCCATCTCTCCAACGTCTCCACCATAACAAAGGATTAAGTTCATGCCCAAGATTTCTCCAGTGTAGTATCCATGCCCACCCATACGCACCAGAACTACTAACAAAACTAAACAATAATAATCCGATAACAAATCCAAGAAACGTTTTACCAATGGGTTCTTCTGATACATGTTCAGGCAATAGAACCTTATCAACCAAATAAACTGTCCCATTATTCCTAGCTTTACCACTATTTAGTATACCTGCCTTGTCCATAAAACTCCAGTGTCCTTTCACCTCCAACATATAACCACCTTTGAAAATATCTTTTCTAACCACAAGTTTAGCATCATTGGATAGTAATGTTTGAAGTTCTTTACCCTCTCGAAGATCCTCAATTTCTCCAGGAATAATATGCAGTAGCAATAAACGTGCTACTCTTTCAGCATCATCAAGCAATTTTGTAAAATTCATTTCAATAAATGCTTTATCTGTTGGTGACAAAATAGTGTATGTCTCATTTGAGTCTAATATAAGTTCTGTGAGATTTGCCACTTTTATCAGTTCTAACATAACATCTGCATCAGCTCCTATAAGCAATTTTTTCACTGTGACAATTAATGATGGTGGTAACAATACATTATCAATTACATGCATAACACCATTTGAAATTAAATTGTTACTACTGGTAATAACTGAAACAGAAGTAGTAGCACTGTGACCATCTTCAATGTATACATCAGTTCCCTGCTTTATAATTTTAAGTTCATTACCTTCAATTGTGTAATGTATTGATTCACCTTCAGGTATATCTTCAAAATATAAAATTTTATCAAGAACATGATACCCAACCATCAAATCTAAATCAGCTTGTCCTTTTGAAGTTAACAAATAATGATTTATCAAGCCTAATTTTGTAAAACCACTATTTATAGGTGCAAACACAGTGATTCCTTTAGCATCTAAAATAGAATTTAACTTTTCACTTGCTGACATTGACAAGACAAATGCTGATAGTAGTTTGTTTTGTATTATAGTTTTCATAATGTCAACTGGTAACTTTTCAACTTCTGAAATCATATAAATTATTGAATTATCAATTTCCACTGGTTCATGTTTATCAATCACAATTGCATTATTAAATTTGATGATGGATGAAGAAGGACTTGTCAAATACTCATCATCATCATCATCATCATCATAATCTGTTTTTAGATGAGGATATTTTTCTTCTATTAACACTTTTATCCTTTGATTTTGATTGTTCAATCTTTCAGTTATCAATTCAGTTTTTATCAACATTTTATTTGTTAAATTATTTATTGTGTATTTTCCATTCAAGAAATGATATTTTAAAATTTCTTTTGTGTTATTTTTGTTGGTGTTTGGATCAATGTAAAATACATCATTGCCCGGTGCTAAAATTGTAAAAGGTTGTGTTGTTAGTTCATCAATATATTTTTCCAAATGGTTTTCAATTATTGAATCTGCAAATATTGATGCATTTAAACCACAAAGATATTTATGCTTTGTAAAGTATAATGCATTTGGTAATGATAAATTATTAAGAACATGTATTACACCTATCATATATATGAGTTAGTATTGTTGTTATTTTATATATTTAAAAATCAATTGATCAACCATAGTAAAAGATTTACCATTTTCTGCCAACAAATTTTTACGTAAAATTAAACCATTACCAACATAAATATCATTTTGATTACGTGATATCTTTAATTTTTCACCTTGAACTGTATCAACTACAAAATATTAATGATATTAATAAAACCATTAATTTTTCTTTCCCTTGATGATTGATATATATATATATATTACCTTCTGATTCACCATCTTGAATACTTTCAGTATATAAAACTTTACTATAACTTAATAAATACTTCACCAAAAGATCCAAATCATTTAGTCCTCCACCACATTCTGATGTTAAATAATTTTTCTGGAAATATTTAAGTTGATGGTTTATAGCATCATTTGTAGGTACAAACACTGTTGTGTGATTTTTATCTTTAAGAACTCTGTCTAATCCTTTCATTTTAAGATAATCGGTAAATAGATTTGTTTCAGCAATCAGAGATAATGTTGTAACTATATAATAATAACACAGCAACATTATTATTATTACCATTACAAATAATAGTAAAAAATGAAGTGAAAAAAAAAAGATAACTTACATATATCTTTTGGTGGGATTAATAACTCAGATACAACATGAATAATACCTTTAAAAAATATACAATTAAAAAATTCAAGTTTTATTTTATAAAGAACACAAAATTCATTTCATCACATTATTTATTTTTTGGTTTACCATTATCTGATTGTAAATCAAATTCTGTGATTTTTGCATTTCCAACAAAATATGTATTTTTTTCATCTATCTCAATATTAAGTCTTTGACCAATGTTCTCACCACCCAGTTTTTCTCCCAAATCTAGCTGAGTTACTAACAATTCTTCATTTTTAAATCCTTCTTTCTTGATCTCTTTATATAAAATATGATAAAGCATTTGATCCCTGGTGATATCCTTAATATCAAGGCCTTTAAATGCCTTATTGTCAGGTGCAAAAAAGGTTGCAGTCTTCAAATGATTTATTAGAGGAATGAGTCTGGTGTTTTGTAAAGTTACCAACAATTTGTAAAAACGTTTCTGTTCTGATAATGCATCAATAATAGTCTTTCTTGCTTCAACGAAATTTGCTAAGCTATTATGAAAAATAAAGCAGCTTGGTAATGTCAAAAGTAGAAGTAAGTGGATGTGAATAAGTAATAAGGTGAAATGTCTCGGTACCATTTTTATTTTTATTGGAAAAGGAAGAAAAATTATTACATAATAATAATGTTATTATGATTGATCCGTCTGTCAGGTGTGCAACAAACTAATCACATGACTCGTGTACAAATTACATATTAAAATAAAAATATGGGCCGCGAAATTCCTTTTTATTGGCTAATTTAACAAACAAACAATATTAATTTAGATTAATGTTTTAAAATTCTAACCCTTTAAGGATAGAGCTTACGTAACACGAATTTTACTATTATTATTATTTGGTTGGCTGCCGATCAGTGTTGGAAATTCGTCGATCTTATGATCTGCAAAAAAAAATTTGTGCACATATGAACACAAGAAATTTTTAT